CCAGGTCGAAAGTAGCATAGAGAGCGTAGGAAGCGTCGATCTTGGTCATCTATAGTGGACACAGGTCAGTAAATTTGGACCAGAATCCGCGTTGAGCGTAATGTATCCCCCCAACCCAACCCAACTAAGGCAGTGCGCTTACAGCCACTAGCCACCACTGAGGCGATAAGCATTCGCCATTTCACATCAGAACGATGCGCACAAAAGCGACTGGTTCCAGGTCCCGCTTACTCTGGCCCCAAATTGATCGTCAACATCAACACCCACACCAACATTCGAATCACACTCGATCTCACCCAAAAATGGACACAGGGCTCACCCCACTCGTCCCCTTTTCTCAGCCCTAATGACTTTTCGATACAGCATAAAGTAGTGTCCCCCCTAAGAACAAACCCTCATATGATCTGCACAAATACGATTATGAAAACAATGGAAAACAATCGTTTCCCTTCGAACCCGTGTTCTAATGTTACAATGGATGTATTCCGTAAGTTTACGCTTTGGTTAATAACGCAGCATCCTAGTTATGTTCGAGTCTGTTATGACGATGATAGATAGCGATTTGGAAACAATCAAAAAATAATATAAGATATTCAAAATGTTCAAACACAGGGAAAAATTCAGGTTACTGGTTTGTAACAAGGTGAAATAATCAAAAAATCCAAAAAAAAACATGATTAAACCATAAATGAATTACCAAGTAGTAAGAGCATTAGCTTCAAATGCAGGAACATTTTTATTTCTTTCAACGTACATAACTGTAGAAGTCCTGCATCACTTAGTTTGCTAGCAGTAAATGCGAAACAACGATTCAGTCAAGACTTATCCCTTTATCCGCGAAAAACAAACATCGGTAGGGAATATATTAGCAGCCTGGGTTGACAAGGTAGAAATCGATTCAAAAAGGAGTCACATATCCGAACACTTAATCTGCCGTTGTAAAACTCAGATTCCAGGAGAAATATGAACGACTTCGTTTGAAGGAGCACTGAACAGGTCACACATGCAAAAACATGTACAACCTCTGTGTCAGATGATAGTTTTCGAGAGGAAATTTGACAATCTCTGAAACAGTAAGAAAACAATCTTCCTAATAAGTTGCACCGTGAAATCAAGCCAAGTGAGTATCAACAACTAAATGCTGGCTGTAAGTCAACATACCTGACTGATGTTTACAGCATTCACTCATTTGTCTTTCGATCCGGACATGAACAATACAGGTGGAGAGCCTGATCCCAATCAGCTCGCCAATTTCGGGGATGGCGAATCAACCAGCGAAAACAACAACAACAGCAACAACAACAACAGCCACAACCGCGATGACGTGACCACAACTGAGAATGAGATGGTCGACAAATCAGTGGATATGCAACCCATGTCCACTTCGACACACTCTGTCGATCTCGGCACTGTGACAGAACAGAGAACAACAACAACAACAACGAACTTTGATCAGTTTACCGGTCAGGTTACGTCTACGAACGCACCCCAGATCTACGATTCGGAGGGAGGAAACAATCCTGTTGAGCCGGATCCAAACGTTCATGTGACTCCTCCAACTGTGGATGCGAATGGGGACGGAGAGACCGACTGGACTACACATGCTATCTCAAACGGATTGTCGGATACGGATGCGGTCAAATTCGGTACTCCCGATTTGACACAAGTGACTGAATCAGTGAAATTACCGGATGAAATGGGAAAAACCACTTTACCAAGTGAGTGAATCTGACTAACGTCAACATAAGTATTATAATCATATCCGAGCCTCATTATTCGCAGCATATTATCTCCACTACATCCGTAATCGTGCTCGCGTACGAGCATCCGTCTGGCCCTAATCAGTCTTATTAGGCATGCCATTACAGTTCAAGCTGGTCTCCAGGAACACATACTGAATGGAGTCCTGATCAAACCGAACTCAAAAATTTCGAGCAACAGAGTATCCGACCACAAGAAAACCACAGAACGACTGAGCACCAGGTGCATAACTTGTTAGAAATAATCGTTCCGCATTCCCGCAATTTCCACACGGCAATGAACATAATAAATGTGTTGGTTCAAAAGGGCAGATAATTGGTAAGCATTCTAAATCAGATGCCGGGAAGAATGCAATTGATGTGACCTTTTTTGCGTGAATAGAACTAAGTTGTTCAGTACAATATCGGTGTGTGGGAAAGCAGTAAATTATACTTATGAAATAAAGATCTTCGGTTTCGGAGATCAGGTTCGACGTGCTCTCTGTGGAATTAACAAAACCATCGTGTTAGTGCGCAAAACGCATAGTAAAAATATGGTAAAAGAAAGCACAGAGAGTAACGAACAAGCTCGTTTGCGGTGATTCATCTACAGGCTAATACACCTTGATTTACGTCATATTGTTTCTTGAAGCCGAGCAATAATAACAAATCTTTCAACAAATCTAGGAATATAACATGAACAAATGAAGCATGATACAATTCGACGTCAAATACGGCTTCACAAACGTTCCCATTGATGAAACTATCGAATACATATTTGATTACATAGAAAGCAATAAATGTGAAATCGTGATACCCTTTGGTGATATCAAACACTTTCTATACGTATGCACACACACACACACACACACACACACACACAACACAGCATACAATTCAAATTCAACCACGAAGTTTATCTTCAAATATATAAGAAAGAAATGGAGTCTACCCTGGGTTCACATTTAACAGATGCCTTCATGGCTAAGCTGGGCTGCAACATACTCAACCGATCAAAGGATCACTGCACGCTATGAAAGTGATATTTGGATGCCAATTTGGGTTGTGTCCAAGACCGAAAGAATCGATTTGGACTCTTGAAATTTATTATTCAATAGAAACGAGACATATTGTTCTTTTCAGAAAAGAAAGAGGATCAACAACTCGCATTTCTCGACATTGTACAAAGTAATCAATCAGCCACGGAACCACACAGCGCAACTTTCACAAGATATCAGTGTGGAACGATCAGCATATCCACTTCAAAGCTGTGCTGTTGGAACCGAAAAGACCCTGGATTCCGTGCCTTGCTGCCAAGTTGCGAATAATATACACAAAGGAATCTATTGCGACTGAACCGAGATTTNTCTCAAACGGATTGTCGGATACGGATGCGGTCAAATTCGGTACTCCCGATTTGACACAAGTGACTGAATCAGTGAAATTACCGGATGAAATGGGAAAAACCACTTTACCAAGTGAGTGAATCTGACTAACGTCATTTATGGGCAAACAAGGAGTCTTAGCAACTAGCATGTGAACTACTTGGTATGCCGCTTACGCACAAACAATTTTCGCCATAGGTCCATGAATCCAAATCCTGCATGGTATTGTGGTTATGCTCTGGCGTTTACTGAAAGAAGATCCACATTCTGACGTAATTTATCCACAGTTAATATTTAGCTGAACGTAACAGAATAGGGCGAGAACTTGAAGGATTTACGAGGGGTAGATGCAATAAATCAGTGTTAGGTGTATCACCAATAAATGTTCAGCTGCGTAGCATTTTCGATTATGCTATCTGAGTTCGTATTCGTTGGTGAAATAATTCCTCCTCGACGTCTTGTCGTATTACGGAGCCACCAGTGAAAACATCTGACCAGGGTTATTTTATTTGTTCGCCGTTTTCAGGTTAAAAACCTGTTAGCATTACCATTTGTGCATTGACATCGTTCCCTATCAAAGTCTTTCTCTCAGATTTGATATAGCCCCGATTTCCTCAACATATCCGAGGAAAATGCTTGTATCCCTTAACCCTCTCTTTAGCTCAGTAATGCAATTCAAGCATATGATTTATAAATTTGAGACTACAGGTAAACTAGCTGGGACTACTTCACATCTCACATGCTCGCACTTTGTTGGCAGTCACATCTGGATCTGACATAACCCAATTGGAAACAGTTCCTGCCCCCAATATGACCGATACGAATACCGAGGAAACCGCAACTCCAACTGAGCACTCCACGATGATTTACGGGAACGAAAAGACGGGCCAATCCATCGAAACACAGTTAACCTCAGATCATACACAAGCAGCCCAGGTTCTGGACCATCAGCTAATCGAAAAGCCCAAGACGGTGGAAATTACGGTCACTCATGAAAGAAAAATGGACGGAACTACAGAACTGCAAACTGCGGTCACGGAACCCATGGAATTCACAACAGATACACAAAGCAATAAAAATGTGGCATTTGAAATGGGATCAAGTAATGAACAAATAAAAAGTGACAACCAATCAACATATGACCGCTCAATTGTACACGAGATCTATGACAATAATCAAGAGATAACAACTACACCAAGTGAGTTCTCTGTAATAATTTGACATTTTTGCATCAATTCGTTACAGAGTGTGAAGTTTTTTCGTGTTTTATTACATTCAAAGATCGCTCTATACCAGCTAAAATTTTCAGTCTCATTTTGGTGTGCTGACAAGACGGGTCGCTTCCATCACTTTGTATGTTCGTCCGCCTAGAATAGTATCAGAGAAAACTTTCTGAAGCCTCGTGAGGTGATATTACTACTGAAAAGCCTACCGTAGCCATCATATATATTGCAAACTTGTAACTGTGGAAGGGGTTTTTAACTCACATCGATTGTTTCAACAACAAATCTGATCAGGCATACTATAGGAATTCTTGAACATTACTTGGTTTCAACCTTGAAGTGACAGAATTATTAACACAGAATCGTGATTTCCAAATCCATTATCTCGCTCGTCATGAATTTCGTTTATTTAATGTGTGTAGCCGAAATGCCACTTGGTGTTTTTTTACACCGTTTGTCCTCAATTTATCAAATAGCTTCCCTGGAGAATGGCTCAGATACATTCGACGGTCTTCTGACACAAGAAGATATGAACGGAGCGAACAAGGCAACAATAAAAGAAAGTGCGAACAAAGGAACAGGCCAAATCTCAACGGAGGAATCACAGACAGCATCGACTTCCTTTGTCAACCAGGAACGTGATAGCAGCCCGATAAACGAGCAACCGAGGCAGTCAGCGATCACATATAACAGTGAAGCAATAATCTCTGATCACAAGGTGTTTGGAACTGTCCAATCTCAAGAGCTCGGTACAGATTCGCCATCGATTGATTTTGAGCAGAACGGTACAGGGACTTTTGGACCACATGATCCAGATTTGGGGAATAACTTGGAAGGGGTGGAAACCATTGGCGACATCACAACGAAAGTACAAAATCCAACGGAAGCGTGGAATCTACTCCAACAGACTACTACTCCATCAAGTGAGTGACTGATTGTGCACATTAGCTTTTGTTATAGATGTCCGAATGTGAGCGAGATTGAGACACAAAAAACGGCTTTTCATGTCCAATCAAACCAATATATATATCTTATTGCAGGTATAGCTTACGTCGGAAATAGACTGTGCGGTTTCATATTCTGGTTAGAACAGAAGTAGTAAAGTATGTCTTCACTACCCTCTCTGAGTGCTCGAAAGCTATTTGAACAAGCAACCACCCTCTCAAAGGAACTCCAATGAGTGAGCCATCTTTAAGCATCGAAACAAAAGATAACCGATACATAGCAAAACCCACATTCGAATTTGGGGAAGATTATGATCTGAGAAAATTCAATTGCCCGTTGCTTTCGTGAATCGATATCTGTAGTTAGTAATGATTATTTTTTTTCGGAATCTTTATGAAACACAAAAGCTAACTTGCCATCTGTGTGCCCGTTAAGTATTCTATGGGGTGATTCAGATAGTCAAAAAAACGAAAACAAGTTACCTAGTCTCAGAAGTTGATTCGGTGAACTGCAGTGGATTCTCGGGAAAACCTGTCGTGGCCGACTCGAGCACGAACAGATTCGTTGTAGAATAAATTCAAGCATAATCGAAAGACACGATAAAAAAAGGCCTCGTGACTTGCGTAGATAGGTCTTCTTCACCTACTCGACGATTCGTACTACATCATTCTGTAACCAATCCTGGAAAACCTGGAAAAGTGAGGATTGTGTTTGATTGCGCTGCCAGCTTCAAACGTTATTGTCTGAACACCGGTTCAGATTTAGTGAACGAGCTAGCCGGCGTCCTATTGCGGTTCAGAAGAGGAAGTATAGCGCCGACGGTGGATAGCGAAGAAATGTTTCTGCAAGTCCGGTTGATGGCTAACGACAGCTCAGCCCTTAGTTTTTTGTGGTATTCAGATGGCGACTTAACGCAAGAACGAATAACTTACCAGACGAATGTACATCCTTTCGGAGCGAAGTCATCTCCGTTTTGTGTAACTTTTGCTCTCAGGCAAACAGCAACCGATCACCGATCGCAATTCGATGAAGCTACCATTTTAGCAGTGGAGAAAAACTTCTACGTCGATGACTACTTGGTGTCGGTGAACAGTGTAGAGGCAGCCCAACGACTCATGGAACAGCTTCGTTCTCTATTGAATCTTGGTGGTTTCCGACTGCATAAATGGATTAGTAAAGACAAAACCGCATTGTCAGGTATACCGGAGAACGAAAAGGCATCCTAATTGATCAGTCTGAACATGATGGAGCCACATGCTCAGCGGAAATTGGGACTGCTCTGGTGTGTGAAGTCCGATTGCTTCGTATTTAAAGTATCCCTTCCTCAACGACCACCCCACAAAAAGGGGCATCTTGTCCTGCTCAGCCTCCTTGTTTGATCCTCTCGGATTTTTGGCACCGGTGTTATTACTACCAAAACGACTAAAACAATCCCTATGCCATCAAAAATCCAGCTGGGATGTACCTAAAGGACAACCCTCCGAAAGGATGTGGAATACATGGTTAAGGGAAACTGGGAAGGTCGAATACCTCATGATATCGCGTTCTCTTCTGCCGGCAGAAAGTGAGATAAGTGACACAACTCTGCATGCTTTCAGTGACGCCTCGGAGGTTGGGTACGGAGTGGTTGTCTATATGAGGTGTACGTTCCCCAACGGAAAGGCCAACTGCAGCTTTCTGATGGGCAAGTCGCAAGTAGCCCCGTTGAAACCGGTAACAATACCCCGCCTGGAGTTACAAGCCGCCGTTTTGGCGGTGAAGTTAATGCAAAATGTGGTAAGGGAGTTAAACTTCTGTACTGATGATCGCTACTTTTGGACAGACTCAACGATAGTTTTGCATTACATCTTTAACACCAAATCACGATATAAAACCTTCGTTGCAAATAGGATCGAATTAATCCGTGAAAATACTGCCATGTCTCACTGGCGTTATGTTCCAACAGCAGAGAACACAGCTGACAAGGGGTATCAGTGCTCAGCAGAGGGATTTATTAGACTTGTGGATTAACGGTCCTTCGTTTTTGAGATCCGATCCAGACACCTGGCCCAGTCTAAAGGGCCTTCACCTTGATCAACCGGATTTCCAGCCGGAACTGAAAAGGAATGCTATTGTGACAGTTACTACCACCACCAAAAACGCGACGGAAGCAGTACTTTGCTATTTTTCCTCATGGGACAAACTTCGGAAAGTGGTAGTATACTTTCGGCGTTTTGGAACTTATCTGCGATGTAAAGTTAGACCAGCGGGTGAACACTTGGTCACCGGACGGGTACAAGTGGGGGCAATGCTCCGAGCGGAGAATATAACACTACAATATGTGCAGAAACAAACGCCACAGCTAATCAGTGTTTTTAATTCAGGATCTACTTCGAACGCGGGAGGTTTCAGTCGAAATTCGTCGGTAAGGAAGCTTTTACCGGTCCTACTCAATGGTTTAATTTGCGTCGGGAGGCGCACGAGAAGTTGCCCACAGGTATCGGTACCACTACATCCAATAATATTGCCCGGACGACACCCAGTGACAGAGTGTATTATCAGACATCATCATGAGTCCGAAGGACATATGGGAATGACTCACTTTTAATCCGTGTTGAGAAGAAAGTATTGGATCCTAAATGGAATTTGTTCGGTTAAACGAGTTCTACATAGATGTATTGGATGCA